AAAAATTGTCATGGAGCACAGCCGAACGTTGTGGCAGAGTGGGCTATGACACTGTTGTGGTGCCAGCATCTCGTACCAGAGTGCTGGTCTTGCCTGCTCTGCTGCTGATCCGGCTTCTTAGTAACGCACACAGCAAGGCAGCACAAGATGGCTCAAGCACTTGGGCCCCTGCTACCCACGCCTGGGAGACCCACATGGAGTTCTTGGCTCGTGGCTTCATCCTGACCCAGGCCTAACTGCTGTGTCCGTGTGGGGAGCAGGGAAGTGGATAGATCTATTGTCCTTGAGATAAACAGAGGAAGAAAGGAAGCAAAGAAGGCATGAACAGACAAAGGAAGAAGGGTGGGAAGGTTTAGGGAGGAAGAAAAGAAATGATAGACAAAGAATACAAAGGAGACAGAGAGGAAGAAAGAAAGGAAGGAAGGAATAAAAGAAAAGAAGGAAAGAGAAACAAAGAAACAGAGAGAGGAACGTAAGTGGATTTTTAAAGATGTATGTATGTATGCATCAGAAAGGCAGATATACAGCGAGAAAGATACAGAAAGATTTCCATCCACAATGGGTGAAACTGAGCCGATCCAAAACCAGGAGCCAGGAGCTGGGTCTCCCACGCGGGTGCAGGGGCCCAAGGCTTTGGGCCGTCCTAGATTGTATTCCCAGGCCACTAGCAGGGAGTTGGAAGGGAAGCTGAGCAGCTGGGCCATAAACTAGCATCCATACGGGATCCTGGCACACACAAGGTGAGGACTTTAGCCACTGGTCTTTCATGCTGAGCCCAGAAGCTAGATGTTAATGACAGTCTGGAATAGTATGTTTCGTATATATAAAATGTTATTATATATTATTTAGGAATTCATATGAAAATAGACATGGGGACCGGTGCTGTGGCATGTAAGTTAACTCTCCACCTGTGGTGCTGGCATCCCATATGGGTGTTGGTTCAAGTCCCAGCTACTCCTCTTCTGGTCCAGCTCCCTGCTGATGTTTCTGGAAGAGCAGCAGCAGATCACTGAGGTCCTTGGGCCCCTGGAGCCACATGGGAGACCCAGAAGAAACACTAGGCTCCTGGCTTCAGGTTGGCCCAGCTCTGGCCATTACAAACATTTGGAGAACGAACCAATGGATGGAATATTTCTTTGTCTTCTCTTTCTCAAATCTGCCTTTCACATAAAAATAAATAAATCTTTAGAAAAAAAGAAACTAGGCATGGGAAATAATTATGAAATAAAAGTGTTTCAAGAAGAGGAAAAGGAGAGGAATATATCTAAAAAGCGGGTACAAAAGGACTTTGAACCGCACTTGTGAATCGTTGTTAAGGTGGTCGCTATGAACACAAACCTTTTCTTTTCCTAAGTCAGAAATGTGTTACAAAGGCAAAACTCTGGTGTTTGAGGGATTTTCGTTTTGGAGGACTTTTTTTGTCAAGTTTTCTTTATTTGAAATAAAGAGAGAGAAAGGAGAGGGAGGAAGGGAGGGAGGGAGAGAGGGAGAGGGAGAGAGAGGGAGAAGGAGGGGGGAAGAGGGAGAGGGAGAGAGAGAGAGAGAGAGAGAGAGAGAGAGAGAGAGAGGAGAAAACACGGCCCGGCGCACCAGCCTAGTGGTTAAAGTCCTTGCCTTGAATGCGCTGGGATCCCATATGGACGTCGGTTCTAATCCCAGCAGCCTCGCTTGCCATCCAGCTCCCTGATTGTGGCCTGGGAAAGCAGTTGAGGACAGCTCAAAGCTGTGGGACTCTACCCGTGCATGGGAGACCCGGAAGAAACTCCTGGTTCCTGGCTTCGGATTGGCTAAGCTCCACCTATTGTAGCTGCTTGAGGAGTGAACCATTGGACAGAAGATCTCCCTCTGTCTCTCCTCCTTTGTGTATATTTGCCTTTCCAATAAAAAAATCAACAAATCTTAAAAGAAAAAAAGAAGCTTTATAATATTTAAAAGAGAGAGAGAGAGATTGAAAGAGAATCTTTCATATACCGTAATAGTGAGGGCTGGGCTAAGGCAAAGCCAGGAGCCAGAACTCATGTGAGCTGGTACCCATGTGGGATGCCAGCTCCACAGGCAGCAGCTTTCCTGCTATGCCACAATGCTCACACCAGCCTCCACTTGTTCTCGAGGCCTTGGATGCTACCTGGATAACAATGGGAACGGGGCGCTCATTTCCAGCGCCCCAAACCAGGAAAAAGCGTACCCGGTAGGGAGAAGAGACTAACTTGGGGTTTTGCTCATCGTCAAGTTTTTCTTTGGCTTGTTGACGTCTTTCCAGTCGCTGCTCACGTAAGAACTGCTTGTTTTTCTCTAGTTACCTGTGATAGTGTTCTTCAAATTACCATTGTTTGCTTTTATGTTTATGCTTTCATGGGACATCTGAGCAAAGAAAGAATTAACTGGCTGCTTTTTTTTAGTGATAAGTACACAGAATATAGCAACTATGACATGTTAGCACTTTAACAGATTTTACATGTTTTTCTTCCCTGAGACAATTGTTAGGATCTTTTGTCTCACTCGGCTGCAAGTCCAAATGCACCTTCCTTAGAGGAATTCATCTGAAAGATAAGAAGAACTTATTCTTCTACAAAACACATCTCTCTCCTTTCTCTAAAATTTGAATCCCTATTTTACTTAAGCTGCCAGCTACCAGATTTGATTCCTTGAAAGCCGACTGAAGTTCCTTAAATGTGATTTGTGGATCGCCTACGTCTTTTTCACTTGTGCATCAAACCGGTAATGGCTGGGCTCTAGTCCGGCCTACCAAATCATTTTGCATTTTAAATCAAGCTTTACAGGTGATTCTTACACTCATATCTTGAAATAAATGAAATAAATCATCTGATAGATGCACAATGCACCGATAGTTTTTAACTGTCAGTGAAAGACAGAAGACAAGGATGTTCACAGCAAGTGAAATTTTAATCGTTCAGTGTTGAAAAAGAGAGGTCTTAGAGGAGTCAGTTGGAGAAACACATGCTAGAAAACAATCGAAATGACTAAGACAGAGAAAGCCAATGTGAGAGGCACGCCTAGACAAAAAGCCAGGCATCCAGTTGTTCTGTGACAGCCTTGGACACAGCACTGCAACGTCCAAGAGCCCCAGGTTTCTTATCTACAGAAGCAGGGCGTTCTCCTTCAGAGGAACTATGTCATTGCTGAGACTTGAAGGGAAGGTTACCCTTGCATTTAATGACTCTGTAGATAAATGCCGTATATGCTGGTCAAGTGCTCAATCCAGCATTGTTTTTAAGATTAAACCCTCGAGGGCCCAGTGTGGTAGCCTACTGGCTAATGTGTTCTTGCATGTGCTGGAATCTCACATGGCACCTGTTAGTGTCCCAGCTGCTCCACTTCCCATCTTGCTTCCTGCTTATGGTGTGGGAAATCAGATGAGGACAGCCCAAAGCCTTGGGACCCTGTACTTGCTGCAAGACCTGGAAGAAGCTCCTGGCTCCTGGCTTTGGATCGGCTAGGCTCCTGCCATGGTGGCCACTGGACAGTGAGCCAGCGAATGGACGATCTTTCTGTGTCTTCTCTCTGTAAATGCGATTTTCCAATAAAAATAAATAAATCTTTAAAAAGATAAACTCCTGAATATACAGATGACAGAAAAATTTCACTTTAATTTTTTTGGTCTGACTCAGTCTCACCAGATAACTTAAATGGTGACATTTTAAAATTGCTGTTTTTTTTTTTGTTTGTTTTTACAGCATTCAGAAAACGTGTCTGCAGTCTAGAGAAAAACAAGTCCAAGGCATGGCAGACAGAAGGCAAGGAGGAACCTATTAAGGCAGTCCTGGGGGATATAATGGGCTTTGTGGGTGTCAGGGTGATCAATGCCAAACACTCCAGGGCCGCCGGCTTCTCAAGGCGGGAGCCTTGGCACTCCCAGAGTGAGGACGTCTGCAGACGCAGACTATGCCCAGTGTTCAGAGACATCACCTCCTTCGACCTTCGAAACAACCCCACGTTTTACGATTTTAAAGCAGTCTGCTTTGTGTCATGGATGATTCGTTGCTAGGATTTAGCTACCGAATGTATGTCCAGATAGGCATAAAGATCCGGGGCGGGGGGGAAGTGAGACAAGGCAAGACGCACCGTGTTTTACTTTAGCATATAACTAAACTCCCAAGATTTGTGTCAGATGAAGGAAAAACGCTTTCCCTCCTCTTTAAAAAAAGAATTCATTTTTCCGTTTGTCCTCACCCTCAGGCAGCTGAGAGCCATTTGAAACTTAACCGAAGGCTGCAGGCAAGTTCTACTTTTCAGGTCATCCAATTTAGGAGATCCAGTTTCTGCAGAGGGACGGAAAAGACGGCTGGGGGAGGGAGCAAAACCCAGACTCCTCGTCTTCCGACCCTTCCACCTTCACCCCGCAACCTGCCGCACGAATCGAGCCAAGTCAGGGATTTTTGCCTCGAACCACCAACACCACTACCTTGTCACTCACGCCCGAGACACACGCCCCTCCGGTCCCACTCTTGGCCAATGGCGGCTCCCCTCCCAGCATAGTAATGAGCTCGAGACCTCCCCGGGCCAATGGCAGCTCCGGGAGAAGGGTTAGTTTTTGCATGTACCTAAATGATTTGCATAACGCAGCGGCCGGGGGCTTGGGAATCGGAGCGCGCAACCCTAGAAGGGAAAAGGACGGGAAGAGCTGGAGCGGCGGCGCGGAGAGCGAGCGGCGCCCGGGTGTTTGTGGGCGAGCCGAGGCGGGGGCCCGGGACGAGGGGCCGGCATGGCTGGAGGCTGCGCTCCGCACGCTTGAGCAGCGGCTGCGGCGGCGAGGCCGGGACGAGCAGGCGGGAGCGATGGCAGCGCGCGGCCCCGGCAGCTGCGCAGGGCCGGCCCGGCTGGCCTGAGCCGCCGGCCGAGCGGGGCCGCCTGTGCCTCGTCCATGGAGCAGCGGGAAGGGCGAAGGTCCGGAGCGCCGTGTCCCTGCGCCGCCGCCGCCGCCGCTGCTGCTGCCGCCGCTGCTGCCGCTGCTGCTGCTGCTGCTGCGCAGGCGGCGGGCTGCTGAAGGCGCCCAGCCCCGCGCCCACTGCCCAGGCACAGCGAGCACCCCCCGAGCCCCAGCCCGCAGGCCGAGCGAGCGGCGCCCGGGACAGGCCGGCGCGGGAGGCGGCCGCAGCGATGCCGGGCCCGCTGGGGCTGCTCTGCTTCCTCGCCCTGGGGCTGCTCGGCTCGGCCGGGCCCAGCGGCGCGGCGCCTCCTCTGTGCGCGGCGCCCTGCAGCTGCGACGGCGACCGTCGGGTGGACTGCTCCGGGAAGGGGCTGACGGCCGTGCCCGAGGGGCTCAGCGCCTTCACCCAAGCGCTGTGAGTGTGGCTGGCGGGGTCTCGGACGGGCTGGGGTGGCGTGGGGTGAGGGGGCGATGCTGGGTCCGGGCCGGCCGTCTCTCTCCTGCTGCCCACCCCCAGTACCCTGGGGGTCTGGAGGGGGGGGCACACTGGGAGACGCCGGCACCTGTGTGGGGGTGCTGGGCGCCCTCTCCCGCCCCGCGGGCTCTCCAAACTTTGCGGTGAGAGTCTCTTTCCTGGACTTTTCTGGCACAGTCGCCCTCCTCCCCCTGGCACAGATATACACGTGTGTGTGTGTGTGTGTGTGTGTGTGTGTGCGTGTGTGTGTGTGTGTGTGTGGCCAAGGAGGCATTTGGAAACGCTTGCCCTTGGCAACCGGTTCACGCGGGCTTTGGCTGGGTCTGCCAGTTGACCCTAAGTCTGTAAACCGAGGCACGTTGCCCTGGGGCCGCACCTGGAGCCTCGTGGGCTCTGGGCACTCGTGGGGGGGTAAGAAACACCTGTATGTATCGTAGTCCGGGAGAGTGCGACCTGGCATCTCGGCCCAGCACCACTCTCGGGCTCGCTCAGAAAGATCCAGGATTCCAGAGCACGCAGCAGGGCCAGAGCCAAGAAGGAGAGAAATGACAGGCTCGTTGCTAGTGAAAATGCTCCTGTCCCCAGTGCGGCCTGCGGGGAGGCATGCAGGGGTTTGAGAGAGAAGGCCCCGGAGTGTGCGTTCCGCCGCCACGCAAGGCAGGCACCAGGCAGGCTTCGCTGCACCCAGCCAGAGAAACGTTGAGGGAGCTGCCCTGGTGCCGAGGGAGCCCCTCAATCCCAGGGCTGTGCAGCCCCAAGCCTCCCGCCTCCGACGGGAACTCGCCGTACAAGTTTCCCTCGGAAAAGACGAGGGCTCCGACCGAGGTGTTGGGGGTGGTGTTGGCGGATGCCGGCGGGAGAGGAAGAATAGGGTGGTGGGGTGGGGAGGCTTGTTCGCTCTTCTTTCGCCGTGTGGCCAGTGGGTGATTTACCTAAGGGGCCGCGGAAGGGTTTTTTGAGAGAGGAATGGAGTTGTGGGAGGCCCGTGGGAAAAGGAAATTTCATTTTCCCTGATTGCTACTGAAGGAATCTTAGAAATGGGCTGTCTCCCTGAAAGCAGCCACGGCCCTACGAAGAACGCCCCTGTTTGTAGACCAGGCTGTGTCTCCAGGTGGGTGGTAGCCAGGTGTTTTGCTTGCCCTCTGCGGGTGGCATATTAGGGAGTTGGATGGAGGCCTTGGAGCTTGTCTCAATCTCCTGCGTCTCCTGTCCCCCCTCAGGTGTGTTTTGGGCAATCGAAGCTATTTTCCTGCAGTGCAGTGCAGTTTAAGTTCTCACAGAAAAAAGAAATAAGTTAGCTTTGCCGTTAAAAAAAAAAAAAGTTTTTTGTTCGCATAAGTGTGTTAAAGGGGAGTGAGGTGAGGGGACGGAAGACCAGGGTAGGGAAGAGGGAGTTCCCTGTGCCCCCAAATCCTCTAGGAACTTTTAAGGCTCTGATGCCAAAAAGAGAGGTGCCTTCACTGGGACCTCTGAGGAGGCCCTGCTACGGAACAGAGAGGCAGGATTTGAGTGTTTTGTTATAGAGTGGTAATGACCTTATTGAGCAGCTTCCTTGAATTTTAATAAGATTTAACTTGCCCGACGAGGAAAGTGGTATTTTACATTAGCACCTAAAGACACCCTCCCGTCGAACTTGGGGAGTGCGAAGCTATGTCTTCAGCTCTGAGCTTTACAAAAGAGTATTCACGGCTTGCAAACGCGTAGAGACACTAGATTAAATTGCTGAAACTGCATCATGCCACCACCTTTCCAGCTGCATGGTGAGCAAATATGGCTTTTTTTTTTTTTTAAATTTGTGACCTATGAGGAAAGCTGACAGAACATACCGCTAACTCCTAACTTCATCCTAATTGCCTGATCTCACTCTCCAAGGCAGAGAGATTACCAGACCAGCCTCTATAAAGGCGTTTCCACAGGCAGTAAGCTTAGAGGAGACCAGCTAGTGCCATGCTCCTAGAAGCTGTGTAAGAGGCGGCAGGTGCTGCAGGTGCACCCTGCAGTGGTTCTGGCAGGATACCTGGGGACCACCTGGAGTCTTTTGTCCAGGTAGTTTCAGTCTGCTCTTCCATCCATGGATACCAGGACGCTAATCCTATGAATCCTAAGCGTTTGATCCCTTGGTCTTTTTTTTCTGCAGTGCATACCAAAACCTATTTAGTTATCTAGAAAATTAAAGATAAAAATAGAAGTGAAAATGTCAAGACATAACTATTAACCAAAGTTTTTTTTTTTTTTCTACCCATTCCTCGTGGACTTGTTCATTCCTGGTATTTTCACCTCCCACGGGGTTTTTGCATCCGCTTTTGGGTACCCAGAATTAACAGGGATTCTAGTTTCCCCAGCTTGGAGTCCACACAGCTAGGACCTAGTGGACACTTAAGGTGCTGGAGTGAGTACCAAGTATGTAAGACATCACACTGAGGGGCAGAACCGGGCCTTGGACGGCAGAAACCTTTCCCACAAGGGATTGTCAAATCTCGCCTTATCAGCATTTAGCCTTTTGTCCAGATTTGAGAAGGCCGCAGACAGAGGATACCTGTTCTTAGGCTCGTCTAAACTTGTTGAGTCGAGCAGTGTCTATTTCCTGCTGAAAGCTGCATTCGTTGTCCCGTGAGTCTGGGGACGGAGTCGGAGGTAATCCTCAGGTTCCGTGCTGGGATTCCCACCCTCATGCTAGGTGCCGCACCTGGAGGGATTATGTGGTTTTGAATAGCAGTTTCCACTCTTGTGTCACAACGCACTGGCTTGTCGTCATTCACCCCAAGATGTGTAAAAAGAGCTAATCTTACTAAATCTGAGATTCTGACGTGTATGTGAATCAAAGGGATTCATACTTAGGCCTATGTTAAAAGGTACCTGTTACATTAATCACTTACCTTCAAAAATTAGGGGAGAAAGAGATGAAGTTACAGTGGTGATGGGCAGGAGATTGTGCCATGTCTTACTGCTGCGAAGGTTGGCAAGCATGGACCTGGGACATGAGTTTTCACATGCCAGATGTCCTTCGTGCCCATCTAACACTTGGAAAGACTGTTTCTGTGGTTGTGCAGAGTGGAGGATCTGAGCTCTTAATGACAGCCCTAAGCATGCCACTGAATAATTGTGTGGCCTTGGGCAAGTCATTCCACTTTTGTGTCTGTGTGAGTTTCCTTATCTGAATACCTGGTTTTTTTTTTGTTGTTTGTTTATTTTGCTTCCAGCAGTTCTATGATTTTATAATTTTTACACAAGATTTTAGGGTATCATGTGATGATGATGTTAAGATTCTCATGTTCAAAGGTGGGAGAGTAGTAGGAGCTTCTTCCAGTTCCGTTTGCACGAGCAATTTTCCACTCACTTGAAGGAGTTCTTTGTGTGTAGGAGTGTGTGTTAGGAAATTTGCCATGGAGACTTGTTGCAGAATGCATGACTAGCTAAAGAGCTTTGCGAGGGTAGTATTCTACCTTGCTTGTTTCCTTGTGGGTATGGCTTAACACTTGGAAAATAAAATCACCCTGTTTCAATAATTTGGACACTGGACAAAAAATTACCCAATGTCCTCATTCCACATAATTAGTCATAATCTCTGAATCCTTTACAGTTTGTGTATCCTATACAGTAGAAAGTTGTGAACTTTTTTTAAGCATTGATGGTAACCTGCAGGCTTTTCAAGTGTTTTTCAAGAATCTTTGGCTTTTTCTTGGAAGCGCTATTTCCATTTCTTCCTGAAGGTTTTTGTTTTTTTTTTCCCTCTCTGTACACCTTTCTCTTTTACTAGTGTAATCTGGAAGTAGCTTTTGATGTCTCTCTGGATATTTGCTGTTTTCTGTGGCTGCTGAGGTGAGTAATCAGTGATTGTTTATGCCTTCTTGCTATTAAACTTGGTATCTTTTATTTTCTGAGTTATTATCTGTGAATCTTAGGGATAGTTTAGTTTGGGTAGTGTGTGTCCTTTTAGAGACGTATTCATTTTCTCACACAAATTAACCTTGTTCACAATAAGGACAACATAGGGAGGGCTTTAAGCACAGATGTTTTATTTGATGAACCAGCAAAGCACTCTGTTCTCTATAAATATCGGAGAAGGAGGACAGCTCCGCAGGGCTCTGCAGAGCTGGAGCACAGAACTGTCAATAATTGACAGGAGTGACCTTGAGTCAGGCAGGTGCTTAACCCTTCCCGGCCTTGGTTTCCTCATCTGTGAAACAAGAAAGTAGCAACTCTCAGCGGCAGATGTTCAGTCTGATTTTTGGTTTTCGTGTATCTCTCAGGTTCCCCGGGTCATGGTCCGTGAAGGACAGCTGCCTGACACGAGTTCTCTCATTCATTCAGGATACTACTCTAGTTATCCAGTTTAATTGGAATCTTTCTATCAAATTGGGAATTTACTGTCTCAAAGCAATCATTCTGTTATTCTGTGGTAATTTTCTAATTCTGTGATTTTTAAAGCTTGCAGCAACTAACAGCATTTTATGATTACTAGTCAAGCTGAGGGCTCAGGCTGTCATTGTATCTCAAGTGTTTAATGTCCAGGCAGTTAGTTGACTCTTAGCATTAGAATTGTAAGGTAACATCTGACAGCTTAATCTCTTGGGAAAGATCCAAGGTCTGTATTAGTACATAGGTAGATCCAGGCAAGTGTAGGCTTTTGCTTGTCTTCCGTGAGTCTGTCTGTCAGGTTGTTATTGTCCTCTTTAAGACTGGAAAGTACTGACAGTATACTAGTTTTGGTTTCTGCTCTCCTTGAATTATCTTTCAGTAGTGACCATTGGACTAGGTGATGGCTAATGTCTGTTCCCCTTGACTTTCCATGAGTGTAAGACGTAGTGAGAATGTTCAGTGATTCATTGAAACCTTCCTGTCAGCTACCTCTGGACTGCAAAAGGGAAGTATGTACGTGAAAGAACCATAAAAGCAGAGTGCTTGTTAGCGTATCTGGATTAAAAACTTCATGCTGTTAA